GACTGCAGAGAGGGGGGACGGACCGATCGGCACCCCATACATGCGATCCGCCGGCTCTACAGCTGGTGGATCGCTTGTATGGTAACAGGCATCGCTGCCTGTTTTTATATACCGGCGATTTCCCGCTAGCGCGCGCCGAGGGGGTGTCTCTGAGCGGACGTCTAAAGACGCACGCTCAGATCTAGAGAGCTCTCGGCCGGCCGTTTTTTTTTTACTACGGCCGGCCCGGAGGCAGTTAAATCAATTTTGAAAAAGCGACGTACCATAAACGTGATGCATTCATTTCTTAAGCACTGAAGGGTTTTTATTTATCTCTTTCTTCTTTAGCTTCACCTTGTAAAGCTTACTCAGCTGCTTAATTTTCACACTTACTGGACTGGTCTGAGGGGGTATAATGACCTCAAATACTGTGCTATTAGGCATAAACCTTGCTTTTTGCTGCCTACATACCAAAACACCTATAGTGTTGGGGATCCAGGAGGTACCGCGGGTGAAGGAGTAGAATATTAAAGTAGGTTGGAGGTACGGTGGCCAGGGGTAACATGGCCGAGGAGGAAGGCAACCTCCCTGCCCAATTTATCCTCCTGTATATTGAACAGGGAGGCATACTTTGAAAGCAAAGTGTGAGGTGGCCAGGGAGGCAAGTGCTGTGTGTGGGACGTATGGTGGCTGAGGAGGGATGTGCTGTGAGTGGGAGGGTGAGGTGGCCAGGGATGGATGTGCTGTTAGTGGGAGGGTGAAGTGGCTGAGCAGGGATGTTCTGTGTGTGGAAGGTGAGGTGGCTGAGGAGGGATGTGCTGTGTGTGGGACGTATGTTTTAGGTGACAATTTGCTTTATCTAGAAGTGTGTTGCCTACTTACAAAAGTGCCTCTAATGCTAATGAACCAGAACAGCTAATATAACTTATGGCTATTGTTTATGCCCTACCTTGTACCAGTCCAGCTCAGAAGCAAGGATTGTGTGCTATATTACAGGGAAAATAGAGTTTTTGCACCTCAAAAACGTATGGCCTTTAAAAAGACATCACAAAGACCCACAATTTTCCAGGGATGCGAGGTGATTCTTGAAACACCAAAATAACAAAACACCCAATAAACAGGTTGCAAACGTGTTTGTAAGGCCCCTTTCACAAAACTGAAACTGCTGGACCCCATGTATGTCTATGGGGAATCTGATGTAATGGACATGTGTCCGTTTACATCAGATTACCCCCGGTCCGGCTAAACAGATCACTGATCCGTCTGCTTTACCGACCCAGCTGGAGCCGTGACTAACCGGGTGTAAACGTCCGTTTACACTCGGCTACCCATAGACTTTCATATAGCGTTGAAAAACTTACAGGCAGACGCGTGCAACTGCTCATGTGAAAGGGGCCTAAGGAACCTGTACTAGCCTTCTTCTTTGATCATCTCATGACAATGTGCAAGTGCTTGGACAGGCCACCAGCAGATGTTTCCTCACCATTCAGGATTCTGAATTATGCCCCAACTGTGCATCACTCATATCAGTTACATTGTTCCCAGCTGGCAGGTGTCGCCTCAATCATTGGAGAGGCCTAATTATGCACCATGTCATGTTCATGTATGTCTTGATCCAGTACCAGGTTTTTCCCTCTGTACAAGGTTCGCTGCTTTCAGCCAATCTGTTCTTAACCATTGTCTTAAAGGGCTAGTGCATCTGTTGCTCAACATTTATCAGTACTAGATGCTGGAACCCTGTGTTTCCTGAAGCTCGTATCTTACGTACTGAGTATTCCTGTGACCCATTTTTTCGCGTTCACTCAATAAATTCAGGTTTCTCTTTGTCTTGGAGTCTCCTCAATAGATCACATTACCCAGATATGAATTCATCTCAGTGTCAAATATTTAATGAACTGTTATTAGTCAAATACATTGTACAATTTCATGAACTAAGTGTAGCCTATGAAAAAAAGGAGTATGATGTTATAAGCAACACCTTCATTTTACTATGAGTTTTGACTTCTCAAACCCAGCATGTATATAGCAAATATCAATCTCGGGTAAACTAAAACCACATCCAGTCTTGCTTAGGAACAGCCTTTGTTATCACCTTTTAAATGGTGAGCCGTTTTAAACCAATATACCGAGGCTCCCATATCTCAGGATTTCAGTCTGTTAAAGGTCATTAAAATGGCAGTGACGCACTCCTGTCTCTTTGGACCTCAGCTGGGAATGGCAGCCTGTTAAGTTTTCTCTTGTCACATAATTACCGAATACAACAGAAGAGAAGATCCCAAGAAGACTTATAAATACCAAGCTATAAAATACAGAGGAAATATTAATTATAGAGTTGATGCTACCGAAAAGCAGGCATTGTTCAAGAGTGAAGGAATCCTAGAATGTATGTGTCAGAAAGCTTTTACTTGTATATTTAGATAACATGTATGTAAACCCTTACAATGAACATTTCTTATTTGCTCCATTTGGGTCTGTCAAAAATGACATTGAAATGGTTCAATAAATGCAAAGATTACCTTTTGATTCTGACAGAAATCTTGACAAGTTGACAACATCTGACACTCTGCCTGTGCTTCAGTCTTACCCGTTACATTCCCCCCTAGCTATGTGGACTATAAAACAACCCCTTTATATTAGGGAGAAGAGGGGAGGGGAAGGTGTTTTGTAGTCCTGTCCTAGTATGTCAATGCTGCTCCCCCATAGATCCAGCATGATATGCGAGCGTTGTCACACTTGCACAGGAAGGGCGTCCTTGGCAGGATTACCAGGTAAAAATAAAAGGAAAACAGTGCCTAAAAAGAATACTAATGCAGCCACCTCATCTAATGACTGGTAAGCTGCAATATATTAATATGTGTTCTTGGGCTTACATATGCTTTAGGGCCGGTTTACACCATCTCCAGTGCATACCGGCAGTTAGTAGCCGGGACGCACTAGATCGCATAGTGGACGTATCACTGCTTTCTGGTGCAGGAGGGGACGTGGGGGTGCTATTCAAGTCAATGACACTCCAGATACTCCCACCCACAGTGCTTTTTTTCCGATAGCACTGGACCAGAACACAGGCATTGCTGTGTCACCTGTTCAGTTGTGGGCGAGGGGGTGCACTGAAGATGGTGTGAACAAGCCCTTTGAGGTTCTAAAGCCTAAGATGAATATTACCAGACTATCTTGTCTACCATCGGTTAACAAGAAGACATAACACTTGGCTTTACCATTCAGCCACATTAATCTGACAGGTTACTATAGATTATAAGCCTATATGCTACAACCTATAACTTAGCCCCAACAAATGAATCGCCAAATGAAAAGTAAAAAATGACACACAAAAAAAATGAAGTTGAATTTGGGTAAGGGGTATGTAAACGTATCCTAAAATGGATGTTTTTCTCACCCCTTCTTTGGGATCTGAGTGAAGTCCACTTCCTGCATGCCCATGCCAGCATGTTCTTATATGGGTTGATGGCCATCCTGAGAGTACCTACAACAAAAGAACACGGTTTAATAGGCAACCATCTTCCTTGGTTAAGGGAACAATTACATCAAAATGAAATGTCTTTCCTAACGTATAGAAAATGTATTGGAAAGTCATAGGTCTGCTGTGGGTTTCCAGTTAGAATTTTAGTCGGGAAAAAAAGCAAACACGCAAGCAAATACTCGGAAATGTGATTAAACGTTGTATGAACAGGAGCCAGTTATCTGCCAAGACAGAAGGGACGAAAAACTACAGTGTGTTCTACAGAGGGAATTGCAGGGATTTTTATTGCTGAGACATTATTTATATTTTCCTCCATATTTGGATGCAGATCAGGTTATCGAGCAAAAGAGAACGAAGAGTATGATTCAGTTGTCACACTGGCAACTCTACTCTGAAGATTACATTAGTACACTCCCATTGTAATCAGCAGAGCTCCACTGTCATTTTGATAGCTGGTCTGCTACATTTTGTGTATCACAAGTCAATGTCAGCTCTCTAGCAGGACCAGCTGCCACATTGACCTCTGCAGGGACCAATTGTCCCTGCAGATGGCTGTGACTGTCACTCACGGCTCCCTGCAGGGATTCCCCCCTCCCCTGTCCGATCCTCCAGCGCTGACTGGCGGAATGGATGGGGGAGGGAGCGGGTACACCTGGCTCTGCCTCTAGATAGGCAGAGCCAGCTGTCAATCACGCAGCTGGGTGGATCTCGACAGTAATGTCGGGATCCGTCCCGGCTGCGGCAGTCTCAGTATACTGCAAGCTGTAGCTCGCAGTATACTGAGCTTTGGGTCATGGGAGGACGCTAGTTTTTGTCCTCCCGTGACCCTGAGGAGAACTATGGGGGAAAACACTAACCCCATAGTTCTCCTTTAATGATAAAAAGGTTAAAAAAATATATACTTTTGCTGAATATTGTGACATGTCAGGAATTTAGCCATGATGCTTTTGGCAACATTTCCAAATATACTTTGGTCTCCTTTTTTCCCATTTTTATAGTATGCACTTTATGTGTATTTTCATACAACATGCCTTTTAACACCGACATGAAACAATATTTAGGATTTAGCATACAATCCATTTAATTCTGCTGCAGGCAGATAAATTACTCTTACATTTTTTCCATGCACATAAAATAAGACATTATGCAAAATGATGCAGGATAGGCAGAATAAAATGGAGAATGCTCTTGAGGTGTTTCCCATTTTATCCCCAAGCTGTCAGAACAGGATGAAGCTATTAATACCTTTACAGCATCTAACAAGTGTCTTGAATTGTCTCTCCCCCCAATGCCGCAAACGGTCTGCCTTGGGAGTGTGTGCAGCACCTGAGGAGAAAAACAAGGTCATGTTAGCACAAAAAGGAATATTAGCTCTTTAAACAGCACCATTTCTCCCTCTGCTTTTATGCTTTGCGATACCCAGGAGGAAAGCACAGAATATGAAGCTGAAACTGAGCCAGAAGAATATAGGCAGCAGGTGTAAAGCAAATTAAAAACAAACATTAAAAATGCAAAATGACAAAGGGCCCTTTGTACCACCACAGCTTCCATGTCCCTAGCTGCCAGCAGGCTTTACTTCTTTGTAAATCAGAGTCCCATTACATTATCAGAGCTCCCTTCTCTTTTGTGACTATATTCATAGCCTACAAAAGGTACAACAATAATATGGAAGAACATAAAGCTACAGGTAGTGCATTGCTGTGGACATCCCCTAGTGAAGAGCTATGCAGGTCAGCAAGGTCTCTAAAACTTGTCACTGTTCATTTGGGGAATGAACAATGTTTTTCCAAAGAGCTACCAGCATCCTTCTAAACTTTTTATTTTAGCTAAAACGCAAGTGTATCCATACACATTCTTCAATTCAACTGTAAGATTGCTGCAAATATATCTAAAATATAAATAGTTGTTTAAAGGTTGCAACAGTAGTCTAACTGAAGCTATGGCACAGCCATTCCATATAAGCGCTTCTATGAGTGCCTGTTAGCTGGAAAGTCACTCTTGAGTACCTTTAAAAAGGCTGCTTATAGTGTTATTTCATCAATTTCCAAATAGGAAATTGTGTTTAAGCATAAACAAAAAAAACAACAGAGTATTATAAATAAGGTGATCAAATCACACATTAAAACTCAATCCCACTTTTAGAGAGAAAAACTAAATTCTTTGAAGGTCAATTCTACAAACCCATAATGATCTCAGCAATTTCCTTGCATGGCTTTCTGTTGCTGTTCTGCTGAATATAACATCAATTTCAATACTGTGGAACTGAAGCTGACCTGGCTTTAAAAGAGTCAACAGTGCCTTGTGGTGTCTGCATATGGTCAGTCTTCACATTGATCCCTGTAATCCTGTGGAGCTCTATAGATGCTAGGTCAAGGATGTACACAACACCTGAACTTCAAAATTAAGTCCCACCTCCTCAAAATGTTAACAGTAGGGCAAGGCTTGGTTCTGAAAGGTGCAGGGTTCACAATCTGAACTGCATATTTAGCTTCTTCTGATTTTAGCTATACACATATTACTGTGGGGGAAAAAAATAATAATAAAAAAAAGGCAAAAATCCGAAACCGGAATCAAAAACTTAAAAACGTATACCTTAACCTAATCCCTAAAAGATTAATTTTTGTTCAATAGATGTTTATTAGGGATGTACCGGAAATTTCGGCCAAAAATTGCACTTTTTGGCAAATTCCCGAAAGTGCCATGACAGCCGAAAAATCAGTGTATCCCAGCTTCTCTCCTCCCCGCTTTGCGCCGGTCTGTGTGCCCTCCGATGCAGCACCGGTGCCCATCGGGGAGCAGAGAAGTTTTCACGATGGAGAGCTGCACTGTGCGGTGACAGCTGTCATTGTTGCAGGAGGCCGAGGTCTCCTCCCCCACTTCCCGGCTCGGCCTCCTGTGTCAGGATGGAGAGCTGCAGGGTCAGTGACAGCTGCAAAGGAGGGGGGAGTTTATCCTCCCACACCTCCGACTCTGCCTCCTGTGTCGGCTGTGATCTGTCACAGGAGGTGGAGCTCTCATCCCACACCTCCCGGCTCCACCTCCTGTGTCAGGATGGAGAGCAGTAACAGATCAGAGAGTGCTCTGATCTGTAACAGGAGGTGGAGTTCTCCTCCCCCACTGCCTGCCCCGCCTCCTGTAAAAGCGGATTCAGGATGGAGAGCAGGCATACAAACACTCACCAATCAGCTGAACGGTGGGTGTTTGTAAATAACTGGACACAGTGTGCTTCCTATGTCCCACTTATGAATGAATGGGAAGTGATCTACATCACTTCCCATTCATTCATGATTGTGGACATGGTAAGTACACTATATCCACCATGTATGAATCAACAGGAGCACTCAGTATAGAGGCTTCCTGTTCATTTATAACAGGAGCTGCAGAATAAGGGATTGAAGGACACAGAATCCTCAATCTCTTTTTCTATTTTAACAGGTAAATATCAGGGGTCTGTTTAGACCCCTGATATTCCCCTTGAGTCCCCGACAGTAAAGTAAAAAAATAATAATAATTTTAAAAAATCAATACATTTTTTTAAAAAGATTTTAAAAAACAACAAAAAACTTAATTTTCTGTGTTTGCCTGACACATTTTTTATTTTCAGTTTCAGTCTCAAAATGTAATTTCGGTGCATCCCTGATTTTTATTGTTTTAACTGGTTTACAATCAAGGCAGTAAAGTCCCAGCATCTAAGTATAGGTTACTCCAAGTAGAAATGTCAGCATTTCTCTGGGCCTGACTCAACACAGTTGCCAGCTGGTAACCAGTTAGTAGTTCCTATAACCGGTACAGTGAGTCTGCAGGGTAGAAGAGAGTACATTGGTGGTCACTATAGGAAGTGCAAAAAGCCTAGGTTGAGAAATGGAAACAGACTGCAGGGGCCCCAAGAGGTTAATTTTCATGGCAAGCCACATTCTTTTTTCACGAGATTTGAATTTTTCTACTGCATATTCATGCAGAACTTGGTGGTGAGAGTTCAAGGGAGTTTGCAGTTTTAGACGCTTGAAGTGCTAGGTCAAGTCACATAGTGAGTATTTACAGGGGTTCATTGTCTAGTAGATTCCTTGGCCTGGGTGTTAATCATTTCCCATCATGGAGCATGATACAACATAAAGGTCCCTGGGAACACAGTATGCAAGAATAATTTATTAAGCTGACTCAATTCACAACCCTGATTCCCTAACAAATGTATTGAACGTCGCAAATGTACTATTTCAGTATAAAGTGGATAGTTTCTTGCACCAACATAAAACATACAAGCTGAGTATCTTTTAAACAGCTTCAACAAAACAAACCGCCAAAGTAATCAACAAGAAGTTTATCGTAATCTACACAAATATTGTAAAGAGCACAGGAATGCTGTTATCATGGTGAAACAGAAGCCCACACTGCTCCACCTTACTCACAACACAGGAGAAAACTGAATGAAGAATGTGGACAACAAATAACAGAAGCCTGATTCTACTGAACAATGAGTTACAGGACAACCATGACAAAAGCAATGTCCTTACTTTAAGGTCGGTTTAGTCTAAGAGATAAAGAAACCGTAAATGATTTTACGTATGTCTGAAATAGACATCCTGATGTTTTGTTATGCATGTACCAGCTTGCACAAGTGACAGTGGCTGCCATAGGAGATGTCATCATTGTAAAGGGGGAAGGTGGTTGTAGGCTCACTTTATAAAGAGGGCACACACTCCCTTTACTAATGCATTAGTGTTAAAGAACACTTGGATCCTCATGCTGCTTCAAAAGTAAATCTTTCAGTGTTTATTAGCACACCAGATTTAAAACGGAAAAATGTCCATTGAGTTCAACTGTTCAAAGTTAAACTATCTAACTTTTTGTAAAAATAAAACCCCAAAGTAGCATCTCCTCCACCAACATATAAAAAGGTGCCTACACACCTTGAGATTATCATATAATCGCGGGGAAATCCAGCGATCGTACGATAATCGCAAGGTGTGTGGAAAGCGTGCGACTGTTTCTACTGTACGGTCGCACGACTTTTGTCTTACGAACATGTTCGAAAACCAGCCTGCTGGGGACCTGGCAGTGGCTGTCCTTGGTAGTGCCTGACCGATTCTATATCTCCTCCTTCTCCTTCTCAGCGCAGGCACAGCCATGGACAGCCCCGGAGCCGGCATCCACCCGTTTAACTCTTCACCCACCATTTCAGGCCGGCACTCACCAGCATAGCCACTGCCCGCAGAGCCCTGGTGACATGCGTATTCAGCTCTGGGGAGATCTGTATTCAGCTCTGGGGAGAATTGCACACAGCTCTGGGGAGAAACTGCCCTAAAATCATCAGCCTGTATTGTTTTAGAAAAAAGTCACATGTCCCTTTAAGAAAACGTATCAGTAATTGGTGTCGGCAAGTATCTGAGTGGAAGTACTTGGTCTTGAAAAAGTGGTATCGGGACATCCCTAGTGGGCATACACTCTACGTATTTTCGCCGGTTGAACCAATGAAACCAGTGAGCTGCCGACTATAGTAATTCTGACAGCAGCCACCGTAAGTAAGAGTACAAAGAAGACAGCAGGAGATTCCTCCATCAATGCTCATAAGCATTGATGGAGGAATCTGTTATATTTTCTTTGTTCCGCCCGCGGGTTGGTGTATAGCCAGCTTAAGTGATCAGGTCATAGTGTCCAGGAGTTTGTTTACATGCCAGAGCTGCCGGCGATGTACTGGGTAAACTATTCTGTTTTTTTTATGAACATGTTCTATTTGTAAGCTTGCCGCGTCATTTCCATGAATATGTTCCATATGTATATTAGTTAGGGATGCACCAATATGGCACTTTTGGCATAATTTTCTGGCCGATACAGCGGTGCATCCGTGTATTCTCTCCTCCCCGCTGGGCGCTGCTCTGTTTCCCAGAGGGGAGGAGAGAAACTGACAGGCGGCCGTGTGCTGCAGGAGGAGAGGGCTGTGAGCGGCCGGCGTCTCTCCTCTTTGCACCGCTCAGCCTTCTGTCACAGATCGGCAGAGCGATGTGTGGGCAGAGAAAGCCAGCGCTGTCATAGCAGGCTGAGCTCCTCTCGCTCAGCTTCCTGTGACAGTGTGTCAGGAAGGAGTGATCAGTGATCGCTGAGTGTTTGTATATAATTGGAGGACAGGGTATGGTTACTGTATCCTCAATTATGAATGATCTACATCACCTCCTGTTCATTCATGATTGTGGTTATAGTAAACACACTATGTCCTCATGTTATAAATGAACAGGAACACTCAGTATAGAGGATTCCTGTTCATTTATAACAGGGGATGCAGAAAAAGAGATAGAGGACTCTGTGTCCGCAATCTCTTTATCTATTTTAGA